CGAGCTGGAGTACTGGTTGAGTCTTTTGAAGGTGGTGACTATCGTTATCTTCATAATCCTGAGCATCGGAGTCAATGCTGGTGCGAACACCGACTATGGATACATTGGAGGCAAATTCTGGACCGCTGGAGATGCACCATTTGTGGGTGGCATTGGAGGCTTCGCATCTGTTTTCGTGACGGCATCGTTCGCCTACGGTGGAACCGAGTCCATCGCAATCACGGCCGGAGAGACGCGCGATCCAGCACGCGTGCTTCCAAAGGTCGTGAAGAACGTCTTTTGGCGCATCTTGCTCTTTTACATCCTCACGGCCATCATGATTGGATTCAACATACCGTACGATTATCCCGGTCTCTCGACAAAGTCATCGCGTACATCGCCTTTCACCATCGCATTCCAAATGGCCGGTTCAAAAGCGGCTGGATCGTTCGTGAACGCAGTGGTCCTCACCAGTGTCATATCGGCAGGCAACCACGCCCTCTACGCCGGCTCGCGCCTGCTCTACACACTCGGAGCGAACGGACATGCGCCCAAAGTCTTCACGAAGCTGACGCGATACCAAGTTCCGTGGATCGCAGTGTTGACGACTAGCTTGGTGTCTATTGTACTTTTCTCCCTTTCTTTCGTCGGATCGGGCCAGCTATGGACATGGCTACAGAACATTGTGGGCGTCTCAAACCAACTGAGCTGGATATGCATCGGCATCTCTTCGCTGCGTTTCCGCGCAGGTCTCAAAGCCCAAGGAAAAGAACACCTGCTACCCTTCCGAAACTGGATGTACCCTTGGGGCCCTTACATCTGCGTCTTCCTAAACATCTTCATTGTGCTAGTGCAGGGATGGTCGTCATTCAGCCCCAAGTTTGCCGCCGTGGATTTTGTTAGCTTCTATCTTGAACTTCCCATCTTCCTATTGATGATCGTCGGCTGGAAACTTCTGAAGAAGACCAAGTTTAGGAAAGCGAGCGAAATGGATCTTGAGACCGATGTCTATACGAAAGAAGACATGGAGCCGGTTGATAAGGGATGGAAAGGAAGGAGCAAGAGAATTGGCACCTGGTTTTGCTTTTGAGGACCCATCTTGCGCGCCAGTATCATACCGGACCTGGCGTTTTGGCTATGCTATACATACGAAGAAGAACTCCCGTTTGCTCAAATTCCCCAGGATGCACCCAAAGGCGTTCCCTGTATCTCGTGTTCATGCGCTAACAAGACGAGTGCCAGCAAATGTATTTTGACTGTGTCTGTCTCACCTACAAATGGACGCACCGCTGCGCTACATCCAGGTGTACTACCAACTCGATAAAATTGGAGAAGCGTGCGAGCAAGGTTTCATGTGTCGTCGAAGGCTTCTTGCAGTGTATGCCTCGGCTGGCGCGTAGCCAGCAAACTGGACGATATTACAGCATCCGCAGCGATTCGGGGGCTGAAGGATGAGCTCAGGGATACGGGCGCTCGACATTGAGACGTCCAAGTGTCGCAAGGCATCGCTGCGCAATGTCACAGAGGGACGTCTGCCCTGCAGCCCTGTACCGACCGGCGAGTTTTGCCGGTGCATTGAGATCTCTATCGCAACGAATTCCAGATCGCTCAGCGCTGCATGCAGGATCAGGGTTTAGGAGGCTCCCAGCCCAGCCACGACGGAACGCCTGCTTGGCGGGCGCCAACCATGCCACGATTGGACTAAGTCGCACTTTATCCGCCTCTCAAACCCCCGGCCCAACGCTGCCCGTGCTCGAAGGCCACGCCCCGCATATCCCCTAAACCTCAATTGTGTTCCTGTGCCTCATGCACCCACTCACAGCTGTCGAACATGACCAGGATGTCGTGATAGTCGGTCGTACTTAAAATGACACGATGGTTGGGGTCCAAAAGACAAAACCCACTTTGCGACGAGGTCGCGTACCTTGAGAGCGTCTCTGTCGCTCTTCTTCCACCGACGTGAGCAGTGCATGTCCTGGGTGCTCTGTGCCATACGATCCTCTCTATATATCGCCATGTTTTCTTTCCTCTTGCGAATGGTATCTATCAATGTCGCTGCTGCGGCACTGATACATGCCCCAATGCCTGCACCAACAGCTCCTGCAATGCTCCCAAGGCAAGGTCCTGCAAATGGCATCGTGGTTATGGGATACGAGCTCATCGGCACGCAAGACAATAAGCCAGTCTGTAAGTGCAGTGGCATGCAAGCTCGATCTCGAGATGCGCTTATCTGACCTGGAAATAGGGTCGATCAAGACTTTCCCCCAGTCTGACGGCTACCTTTTCACAACAGGCAGCCTGTATCAATCGTGCAAAGCGTCATCCGCTTTCGAGGTTGATGGAACCACCACGACCTCCCCTTTGCCGAAGACAGGATGTGAGGCATGGACAAGCTGCTCACATACAACGGTGTATGGGTCTGGAGGCGTAACAAGTACCTGGTGAGTTGAGCTGCATGTCTTGCGCGTAGACTCGGCCATGTTAACCAGCTAGACAGCGACGGAGACTATGGGCTTTGCTACTCGGACATCATGTTCACCACTTTTGGCGCTTCCGACGCGTACACGCGTATCTACTGCGATTGGACAGGCAGCCATCCGTTGATGTCGACGACACTTTACCAAGCGCTTCCAGCCAATGGTACGTGACATTGCGCAAATGCTATACTTGACTCGTTACTAATGTATTGTAGTGGACTCAACGTCAGTCGCGTCTCAACAGGCAGCCTCCAGTATACCTGCATCGAATAGCAACCCTTCCATCTCCGCACCTACCCCGTCCCCAACGTCGAGCCCGGCCGGCGAGCAGGATCAGCCCCCTGGCGGTAGCAGTCGTTTGAACAACACATCTGTGATCGCTGGAAGCGTCGTTGGAGGGATTGCGGTCATCGCATTCGCCGGTGTCGCCATCTTGTACATCCTCAAGCGCTCCAAGCGCCACTCCGCGGGTACTCCTGTCCCGTCGAGCGACGATGATTCTATGAATCCGTATGGCACGCCGGAGATGACCAGGAACGGATATCCTGATGCGCAAGCGTATACGCACACGGCGACAAAATACGGACACACCATAAACGGAGGCGAACTCGATGGGCAGCATGGCACCGCCGAATTGGGTGGCGTCTTGGTCCACGAAGTAGAGGGCCGTCGATGAGGAAGGAAAGCAGAAGGAAGCGCAGAAAAGGCCACTTTTGTGGCCAAGGAGGCAGCGGCGTAGTATTGTATGCAACTGCCTCGGCAGCAATGCATCGTCTGGTCGGCTTACGCACCGCTGTTAGTTCCCAACCCAAGACCATAGGGGTAAGACGTTCAGCCAATGTCTCGAGACGAAGTCGCCCCATGGGGATGAATGACAGCGCACCCACCGATCACACGAAGCATGCAACCCTTACTCTGAGTCTATGTTGACAGTCAGCAAGGCAGCATTTGCGCATTGCGACTAATACTGGCCCTACTGACACCGAGTCAGCGCCTCGAAGTGGCAGTGCTGCTGCGCTTATTTGGGCCTCGATCCGGTCCCCGCAAATCAAAGCGGTGCTGACATGATCCGGCAATTTAGCCGCTCCATAGGCCAGCCTGCTCACCACATCAACACCGACAAATGTAGATGCTGCGCATACAGCTGACATGAATCAGATTCTGTCCAGTTGCTGTGGTTCTTTTCGTACATGCGCTACACGATAGGGGGCTGTAGTCCTTCATTTCCTGCAATGGTATCCATCGACGTATATCTCACTGTATGATAGGGTACAGCCACGGACGTACGTCTCTACCGAGGTTTGGCCGAACGCAGGTCTTTGAGACTGTGGGTAGTCGGTGATACTAGCAAGCAATACGAAGTGATTCTAGGGATTTCATTTCTTCGAGACTGTTGACTCTATCTCTCTTGCTTCGACTTTGCTTTCTCTTCTTCATCGCGAGCGCCTGCTTCCGCCTACTTCAACCTTCACTGCCAAAAGACCAAGATGCCTTGTTCCAGCCTAACCCATCGCATACTCTTCATAAGCTCCATCCTACTCTTGGTCGCATCCATTGGCACCCTCGGTCTCACTGGTCACGCGAAATGGCTTTTGGTTCAATACTTCCCCGCTGACGCTTGGTACATCTGGAGAGGAACAGATGGAACGTATGACGAGCAGCAGACGACCCAGCAGTGGATCGCTATTGACTACAACGAAACGTATGATAGACTAGCCGTTGCGAGAGCGGTGTTGGGCGTCGTGGCAAGTGTACTGAGTATCTGGATCATGCGAGCGAAGCCCAGAGCTATAATGGAAGAAGATACACAGGTACTATTCTTTGTGATGGCTGTATCTTGATCAGGGCTTACAACGCATCCAGAACTCGCAACACCCCTTTCGAGGCAATATCGTGTACACCACAACTGTGGTACTCGCAGTCGTATCCTTCGCCAGCACACTTGCATCCGCGATATGGTCCACCATCTTGCATTACCAGTCATCGAAGCGTTGCCAAATACCGACGGTGTTGACCAAATACAACGACGAATTCACATGCACGCGTGAGCTAGCGACCTGCGTTATGCTACCTGTCATACGGAAAACGGATGATGCGGCAAGGAGGATGGCGTGTGTGGAGACTGTAAGATTGAAATCGAGAACATAGATTGGAATAGCGGATGCTGACTGACGTGACATGTAGAAAACTGTTCGTTGGCTGCTAGTCCCCATGCTCGTATTGGGTTTGGCATTAGTTGTGGGATATGCTGTGCAGATCTGGTATCTGAGGAGACGGGCGGCTCTCGAGCGGAGAGCGGATGATAAGGTTGCTGTGCTAGAGAAGGCAGACTAGCTAACCGGAATGCGATGCTGCTGGCAGGTTCATGTCGCTTCCAGGCAGCGCTTGCAGCAAACATTGTTTGAAGCATTAAGAAGATTATAGATCCGAGAAGAAGAATTGGGTATATAAAGCAGCCGAAATCTGGTAATTCCCCTCGTTTGAAACATAAGTTCTGCTGTGAAGCGCACGAATAACCCTCCACATCGAACAACCACCTACATCATGGAAGCCTTTCTGCTTAAAGTGGAGATGCTTGAATGGACCCTCTCCATGCTACCTGTCGAAGACCTGTTACGCTACGAGCGCATCTCAAAGCGTTGGTGCGAACTGATCAGGGACAATCAAAATACTTCCAAGACACTATTTCGGTACCGGCAATCTATGGCAGAGCAGATCGATTCAAACCTAAGGGATGCCTTCCTAGAAAAGAAATGGTTGGATCATGGTGACAGTCGTCCCACCAGATCGGAAGTACTCGCCGACTGTATCGCACACCCTCTTCTGAGTCGCTTCTTCGGATTACCAGAGTCTAGCTCCATTGCTGCTTTCAACAACCCCAAACTCCCCTACATCAGGTGCTGGCACCTCCTTCGTACCCTCAACAGACGGATTGGATTGCCCAATCCAGACGCATCTTGGCGACGAATGTTCATAACGTGGCCTCCACTCAAGGAGATCGAATTACACGTCAGCTATAGGCTTCACGATGATCAGCCGAACAAGGAAAAACCCAAAGTCATCAAGATCTCTGAGCCTGAAGGTATCACGCTGAATCACTTCTTCTATGCCCTTTCTGGTTCTGCAATACTGAAATGGGGGCGTACTGCAAGTTCGATAATGGAATGGAACAAGGCAATCACCGAAAGTTGGTTCACGAAAAAGTACAGGGGTATGCGTATCAGGATCGTTCCGATAATCCGTGTGAAAGAGGTGGCGCAAGAGACTGCTGCGAAAGAGGCATGATTGCTGTGGACGATGGATGGTTTGAGGGCTTATCAGCTGCCATTTTGTAGGTACGATCATAAAATGTAAAGAGTCTGCATTACAATTATTTGGTGAAATAAGATGAACGGTCCAATCATGCCATCTGCCCCCTGACTGCACCAGGTAGCGCCAAGCTGGAATGAGTGTCCGCCATGAAAGCCGCCGGGTTGGCTTCAATCATGCTAACATGGAAGCCCTCGCCTGAATCCTTTCCTTCAACCATAACACCAGTCGTAAATGGGCCCTTGATACAGCCTGCGCTGTTCCTAACCGACTCACTTCCCTCTACTAACTCCGGGTTTGGGAATGAGATTCTGGGTGGTCCACTAGCACCGCGCGCGGCCTCGTGGATGTGCGTCGCAGTAGTCGCGGGGGAGTCGAATTCGCCTTGGAAGTTGTGCAGCGTGATGTTGTAACAGATCATGTTGGAGGCGCTGTTGATGCCGAAGTTGAAGGTGCCGGATGCGCCGGCGAGACCACCGGTTGGCTCGGTGCCGTTGACGACTTCTTCCGGAACGGCGTGAACGAAGTGCGTGGAGGAGAAAGCAAACAGTTGCTGGGCATCGATAGCGTTGGCTGCGACAGCGTCTTTACCGGTCAGGTCGATGTTGATCTGTAGCTGCATGTGACCATTGCCGATGTCGAGAGGTGATGCTGCGACTGGCGCGGCGGTTGCGCCAAGCGCCAGGCTCGCAATAGTGACGAATGCGGCGGTATACATTATGATGTAATGAGTTTCAAGAAATGTGTATTGTGAAAGGGTATGCGGTAAATGTCTTGTCAAAAGAACGTGTAGAAGAGAAGCGAAAGAAGCGAAAGAAGCGAAAGGATGAATGAGTGTGTTTGAGAAAGGACTGGTCAACAGCGAATTATTCCTACCGAGCCTCAAATAGCGCCCATTCCATCTGGCTATATACTCCCTAAATGTGGTGATACAGCGTACGTGGATGCCTTAGCACCAAGGCTTGGTATTGTCCTGGAAGAAGTTGTCCCGATGATACCTAGGTATTTGAGGCACCTGTGTAACACATCATGGGTTTCGCGCACCTTGGCCCACACCAACAGCCGACTCGGCGCCTTGGAAGCATCAGGCCTCAACGCATGCTGTAAACACTCAGCTCAAATGAATGATCGAGTTGCGAAGTGTACATCCCGAATTAGCATGAGCATGGGTGCAAAAACTGATGAGCCCAAGGCACGCATCGCTTATTTGTCGCGGGTTTTCGTTCGCCAAGTGAGCAAAACATACGATGCGAATGGCTTGGACGGACTCGAGGCGCATCCTGACTAGATTACATGTCTCTTCTCGTGGTAATCTTCTCGCCATTTGCTACCCGTGATCTGATGTTGCTCGGATTCCATGCCGGCCGGGAGGAAGGGCACGCTTGAGAGACCGTTCGAGCAAATGTTCACCTAAACGGCTTCGTGAACAGCATGCCAAGAGTCGGTCGACTATCGCAAAGCTACCGATAAGAGCAAATTGTCTGGCATGCCGTTCAGTGTTAAGCTGTTCACGCTCTTTCAAAGGCTGCCCAGATGAGATTGGCTCTTCGAGACACGGCCCCGGGGGCGCGTGCTGTCGAAGAGGAGAGGATTAGAGGACAGGACGATGCTGTAGCAGCCTGGAAGCCAGGCAGCGGTCTAGGGCTCATCAAAGGACTTTATTGACATAAGTTTCGAAGATGGTGGTCTGAGTGTGCGTACCGATGATGATTGAAGTGTGTACGGACTGGGAGGAGTCATGACGCAACGGGGTGATCAAAGCTTCCGAAGTTGGTCCGAGCAACTGAGGAGACCTCTGTTCGTCTCATCACCTTTCAATGCTCGCGCATCGCGAATACACGCCCTCAGCGTCCAAGCATCGTTCCAAGTACAGAGGCTCCGGCCTCTTCGATGGTATGTCTTCCCGACGTGATTGTACGCCCGCGAAGGGGTTCGGTGCAATGACGGCCGGTTTCAGCCACTATCCGACTCCAGTTTCATGATTCTCTTGGATCTGGACTTCTCTACTTCTCGTCATATTCAGCTGTTAATATGTGTCCTTCACGATACTTGCACAACAGCACTCCCTCATGGAGAGATTGCGCAAAGATAAGAGACGGAAGGGATGTATAAGAGACGGAGGAGATGTGAAACTTCTCGACGCGGATGTCAGCATCAAAGGGAACATTGCTTGACTCGCCATTAGGTCTTGTTGATGTTCATTAAGTACGTATTAATACACTATATGAAGTGAAGTAAGTATTGGTATCATAAAGCAGTCATCCTCTCACATCCCACTAAATTCCAGCACCAGCACCCGGGAACTTGGCAAGCAAAGACTTGTCGTACTTGGCAAGGTCAGGGCAGCCAAGCTTCGCAAGGATAGGATTCAGGGCATCGGTCAACTTCTGCACAGCAAGCAGAACATTGCCGAGGAGACCCTTCAAGATATCCGGGCTGGCGGAGTTGACAGCCTGGAATGCGAAGCACATGAGGTTGTTGTCTTCGAGCAGGGTCTCGGCGTTGAAGACACCGCCGGTAAGGTCGGCGATGTTGACACCGGTGAAGGTGTTGGGCTCGCCAGTGTTGCCACCGACGACGGCCATGTAGGGAAGGGCTTGCAGTGCGCCTACAGCATCGAGGGTGAAGGCTGCGATTCCGTAGTCATCACCGATAGCGCGGCGGTACCACTGCGGTAGGCGTCAGTAAATTCCGACCGCTGATGATGCATGCTGAGCAGACTTACGTTCTCGGGAATCCTCTCCTGACCACGAGCCCACTTGAAGCTGCCTTTCTGTCCTGTGACGCCTTCAAAAGACTTGAGGGTTTCTCCGTCGAGATAACCTGATGGATACTCTGCAGAGTGATTCGAGAAGAAGTGAAAGGTGAACAGGTAGGTCGCAGTGTTGATAGCGTAGTGGGTCAGAGGCCCAGCCCAGTAGTGTCCGTTGGTGGCGACGGAGTTGTTGTATCTAGAGCCACGGAAAGGATGCATGACAGTGAGGTCGTAGCCGTTGGGACCGATAGGCATGGCCATGAGTTCCTCGAACTGAGGGAGGTTCAGCGATACTGGGTTGCCGTTCTTGTACAGATCCTCTCGTGTAGGAGAGCAGTCGGCTTCGAAACGGTTGTGTGTTCCGCTCATACCCTGCGGCTTTCCGACGAGACCAAGCCCTGTAGTGAGTCCACCAAGCAGGCCTCCGCTGGGTGGGCCACCGATGGAAGACGAGACAATGTCGCCGCCCATAACGGTGGCAAGGACCGACAGAAAAGCAGAGAGCTCGAGACCCATACCGAAAACTACGGCGCTGTGAGCAATTTGGCTGACAATCCAATGACAGCATGCGTACCTTCGTTTGATGCAGTAGTCAACTGCGTAACGGATGCGATTCCATTGCGGGGGAGATAGCCATGGTTTGCCATGACGTTCAGACCTGGGCAAGGTCCGCGAAGATCATTCTTGCCAGGAGCAATCTGTAGGTGGACGTGTTAGAAATTGATGCAAGAACAAGTCTTCCATCCCAAGAGTCCACCTACATAACGGTGTTCACCCGTGGTGCTGATGCGTTGGGCATCCGCATCGAAACTCGGTGGTAGGATGCTAGCACCAAGTTGTCGCTTGGCCAAGTTTGCCGGCATATCCTCGACCGCTCTGGTGATTTTCGCCGCCAGCTCTGTGATCTCTGCGAGCCCCTCATCGCTGAGATCAGCAGGGAGGTTGTTGAGGAGGTTGGCGGGGAAGGCAAGTACTGCCGATGTAAGGAGCGTAGCGCATAGAATGGATGCCTTCATGCTTGCGACTCAAACTATACAAAGACTAAGGAGCGTATGTATCGGTGACGGGTGAAAAGCAAATTGGCAGTTGAAGTCTTATTATATGCGAACAGTCTGAGGTGTTCACGGCGAATGACATGAACGCGACCAATCACCCATGGCGAATTTCGTAGCGGAACTTTAATTCAGGAGTGGTGTGCCTGATCATCGTGCTGAGATCATGTACGTCGCTGATGAAATGGCAAACCTTCTGCGCGAGCGTAGAACAATGACTCTGTTCTACAGATGAACGACCGACAGAAGGGCCGAAGTTAGGAAAAGAGAGTGGTGGTGCAGTCTTGGATATGCGCCTGACATGCTAGAGACATCGACTAAGATATCGACTAGTATCGCTGGGCTTATCACGTCATTTTCGATTGGTCGGTAAAGGATTCCGATGTTGTCGGTCGCAAGGGCGACAAGGCCCCTGATGCGCGCATAGTGCGAGTTGGGATCCGGGGACGCTAGGCGTTGTCATGGTGGTGGGCGTGCAGTGGCGCTACCTGGGAACCTGCCGCAGCGTGGAGGCGGGCCTGTAGATCAAATGCCGCTAGCCGGAAGGGAGCGGAGCCAGGAACCGGGCAAAGGCGAATGAGAAGACTCCGACGGGAATCGGTCTTCAGGGTCCTCTCGCCTCTCATTACTCATGTTCGAGATGCTCGAAGAAAGTAATGCGATGGCTAGGATAATTAACAAGACTCGTCAGTAGTCATAGAGAACGGATTCAGGGTGATGCCGACTCGCGACCGAGAAGGCTGAGCAAACATCTTCGTTATGGCATTATTCGTGATTATCAATTACCCGTAAGCTCCGTTACAGCCTCCGTATGTCTTCTATGTGCGTCTGCATGTGGTCTGCCAAGGGCCAATTGTCACCGTGTAAGTGCGCCCGTGACATGGACTCTGGCAATGACTCGGGGGTTGCAGCCGAAACCCTTCCAGTCTTCTCGTCGACGATAAGATCGTCCAACTCTATGTAGTCCTCCTTGGGGCCGCGCTCCAGGTCGTCGACCAACGAATCTGTGCTTGTGTTCTCCAATGTGCGTGATGTGTTCTTGTTCAATCGTCGTGCACTTTGATTCGCAAGTGTGCTTGCGTTGTTGGAAGGGTTGGAAGGAGTGCTTCCAGTTCCAGTAGATTTTGATTTGTTGCTTCGGTTGGTTGAGTTGTGGTAATGTGAGATGGCCGTGTTGACCGCTTGCTTGAAGAAGACACGCAGCACCGGGATGGACGTGGCAACAACAGTCATGGCCGTGTCTGCTGTTGACCAAATGACGGAGTTGTACGCTTGGTCTGCTTTGATTAGCTCGTTTCAGATAGAGCGCTTCAATGACTTACAAGATAGATCCTGGGTCTGGAGCTGTTCGACGTATCTGGCTCGGAGAATGGATGTGACTCCCGCCAAGATACCCAGACTCATGGCAACACCAACTCCGATCTTCTCCGCGGTGCGCATCTGTAGATTCCAGAGGACCTTCCAAGGCAACAATGCTAGAGAAATATCCATGATGGCAGCCCATATAGCCTGGAATCTTCCGTATATTACGGAAGGCTCCTTGTCGATACATGTCCCGGGAAGGATATCAACAAAGGTCTTCGTTATTGGCTTGCACAGTACCCAGGGGAGTACAGCAACTGGTATCGCGAATAAGGCAAGGGTAGCGATAGCGAACCAAACGTAGGCCTTAAGCCATCCGTCAGTCAACCGAAGCAAGGTGAGCCCGAACGAGATCTTGCTGAGGATAATGCCCGTGATAGAAAAGGTGAGCGCGGATGCGCCATAGTACGTGATACGTTCGAAGTGGCTGAAGTCAACTAGCCAGAAGGTCAGAGATAGGCTGAATGAAGTCTTCCTTGCGAAGTCTTACTGTCGAGCGCATGCTTTCCAAAACCGAGGTTGATGCTGAGTTGGTTCAAGATGAGTTGACCAAGGAGCATAAACTGCGGTGCATCAGGGATCCGCGATTCACTTCGATCTTTCGACTTACTTACCCAGCTGATGATGAGTACAATATCATCAAACCAGAACTTCTTTTGAGAGCGACGGATCCAACAGCGAACAACCAGGAAGGCGAAAGAGACTCCACCAAGTGACCATGTTGAGACGGCCATCAACATCGAGTGCGACTCACTCGGGTCACTGCGCCAGTTATCAAATTGGGTAGACATCTTGATCGCGCTCGCGGGGGACCGAGGAGTCGGATACGATGGGAACGTCCAGTCGGTATAGGTATATTAATGTCCCACGGAGTTCCATCCAAAAAAGGCTGCGTTCCTCCGGGATGAGGGTACAATCTATAGGTAAGGATGCTCCGCGGATGTCGAAATGTAAGGCACAAGCTATACGATAGGCTAGTGCCTGAGACTCTTCCGCATGCCAGGGTGCGGCGAAGATCTCGCCGAGCTCGATCGCAGAAGCTATCGCGATATCGTGTTTGTCAGGTATGCAATTCACTGGAAGTTTTATGTCTATTTGCCCAAGACCATCTCAAAGATGTGGGTATTCGCTGGTCAAACCTCGTCTCGGTGTGAACGTTTCTGGTACGTGCTTTAGGCTTGTCTGACTCGGGCCTGAAGCAAGAGCCGGTAAGCATCACGTCGGCGTGCACCCTCGTCATTTTCCAGACATGTGGCCAATCGCGGTTTTTGCACTTCGCATTGGCTTGAGTGAACGACGGCCCGAGAGCGGAGATCCCTCCCACTTCGCCGCTTGGTACGCGCGCTAACAAAGGGCCCGTCTGTCCCGGCAGTCATACCATCGCGGTTTTCAGGTCATGAGCGGGACTTGTGTAGATTGATGCCAGGGTGCATTCGATTGTAGTCGCAAATCTTGTTCCCTAGCAAGAGTGGGTCGGCTTCCATTGTCGCACTAGGGCCAGCGCGCGGATAGACTGATGCTCGGTCATCACCCTTTATTCTCATAAAGTTCAATGAATGCCGAGTGCGCAATCGACAGCCGCGGTTTTGGACGATCTGGAACATGCCGCGCTCGGACTTATCTTGGGGATGCTGGTAAACCTATGACCACGAAGGCAACGGGAGGAGGTTGGACCCAGCAACATCGCACCTTAGTCTGATGAGTATGCGCTGGGCAAACGTTGGCAGGGGTTGCGGTAGGTAAGTCAACTAACCCCAATGCAGCAACGTAGGGATATCGCAGCCACTGCAAACGTAGTCGCATGGCAGCAACATGCTGTGGCAACATTGCGCAACGAAGTTGCGGCCAACTGTTCATAAAGATGTTCATTCATAGGGTGACTGTTTCCGCCCACATGAGATAGTGTTTGTGATCTAGTGAGTGAGGTGCCAACGGCAGATCAGCCACTTCGACGTACCTGGTAGGCTGCGTGTGTGTCTGCACCTCTTTCACAAATGGCAGCGATGTGCCTGTCGTCACGATAGTTGCTACCCAAGACCCCGCATTCATCGTTAGCAACGAGCCAATCGATACAAGAGTGTGACGCATCGTGATCTGGACTGGTGATGTTGGTTTTGGTGTAAGTTCAAAGACGAGGCGAACAGCCTTGTACAGCTAACTGTCGCTTGCCTTACCGCAAGTGGACTTACTACTAGACAAGTCGACCGAGCACCTCTGGTTCGTCGCTCCTAGTCGTTACGAACACTGCCGACGAATTGGACATCGCTCTGAAGCGGATGTACGGGTGTTGGGTAGTTTACACTACAAGTTGATATAGTAATGCTTCATTTTTACGATGCATGGCGTGAAAACACCCTAACGGTATCCTGTAGTGCATCAGTAGCGCTTTGCAGCCTTTGTAAACTCTGTTATCAGCGCTGTGTACTCGGTCCACACAGCCGCAGTTGGCCTGAATGAACATTTGTACGAGTCACATGTGTGCTAAGAAGCAGCTGTTCGTGACCAGGTCGTCGCGGTTGCAAAGGAAGTGGCGCGCTTGAATTGCCCGCCGGGCGTAGGCAAGAGAGTTCAGGATGCTTGCATGCGCCCTATGCGCTGACCGCGTTCGTCGATTTCTCATGGAGGATGGCGTATTCTCCATGTCTAAGTTTCGGGATCTAAACCTTTCTCTGTAGGCCAACCAGCAACTAGGCAGCTGGAATCGGAGACAAAGTTTGCGGAGCAGATCGGCCAGCCTAGCTCGTTCGGGTTCGCACTCGCCATCGACTAAATCAACACCATCTCCATCCTAAATTCTCTCTACGTCAACTTCATGTTTTGTGTAGTGTAGGGTATCTGCGCTAGGGCCCAAACTTATGCGTTGGAGCCCACCATCCAGGATATCAGAGAGCTGGCACTTCCAGACGATTTCGATCGAGGCATTTGCCTCGGAGTTTTGGCCTTCGCAGCGATGACCTGCACGTATGCATAAGGTTCGACATCTTATCTTGTAGATCGAACTCGAAAGAGGAAGACATGTGAGGAGCTCCGATGCTCACACTGAGTGACGCGCATGCCTGATGGGCCTAACAAGATAGGCTTCAGGATTCAGCACACAGACAGCCGATGCGTTTTGACGATTGGGATCGATGAAGTGTTGTCCTGTAAACAACGTTGAGGCTTGGAGGGAGTCGGCTTGATCAGTCGGGATTGGTGGGGGAAGATGTGGCCAGTACGTGATCACTGTCTGGCTATTGAGAGGGCTGGGAAAAGCAAATGCCGTCGAGGCGCATTGCTCAAGGTATGCGTTCCATCAAAGAAGAGAATGCGCTCTTGTCGAGCGCCGGGCGCGAAGCTGGGAGTTCGATAGAATTGATGAGAAACTCGTTCTTTCCCTCGGAAGATGATTCCGAAGATGTGCACGTGCCCGACCACGTGATGTTCTCCGCATCTTGGCACGTACCTGACGGGGAAGAGGGACGCGAGAGTCAACGTCATAGCCCGTTGCAACTGCTTTATCAACGAAGGATTCATTAACGATGTAACCTTAGAGCTCAATCAGGGTGTACAACCGATAAGGCCCGCTTGGGGAGCGATGCGCGCATGCGGGGTACCTTGGAAAGTGGTGCGCCAACGGGTGGGACGCATAAGAGGTAAAAGGAATTACGACTCACCCAACTACATCAACTGTTCTCAAGATGCTGGGAACTGAATTATTGTCTCTGCTGGTACTCGCGCCATGCGCAATAGCACAAGACGTCGATTATTCGCAGTTCGTGAATCCATTCATCGGGACTGAAGGCGCGATACCAGGCTACGCATACGGCGGCGGTGATGTGTTTGTGGGTGGCGCAGTACCATTCGGCATGGTCAAACTGGGTATCGACACGTATGAAGAGCCTATCAACCAGAGTGCGCTCAACGGCGGATATACACCTCAAGGCCATGTGACTGGCATCAGCTTGATGCACCAGTCAGGGACCGGCGGTGGATCGAAATATGGATATCCGTCCCAGATGCCGCTGACAAGCATTGATGGCGACGTCAATTTGCTGGACAATCGGACTTACTGGCAGGATCGAGTAGGGTCATCAATTGTGACGCATAGGCAGTTTCTGACAAGCCTATAGGTTGGCGAAGACGTCGCGCAAGTTGGCTACTTCCGTACCGAGCTAGAATCTGGTGTCAAGATCGAACTCGCGGCCTCTCGACACGCAGGATTATACCATTACACGTACCCGTCTTCGTCCGAGAAGCACGTTCTGGTTGACCTGTCGCACTACCTGCCCCATCTGACACGCTCATGGGATTCTCAATTCTACACAGGCGGCGAGATTGAGATTCAACCGAACAACAGCACATACACTGGATACACATCAATAGCAGGAGGCTGGAACATTGGCGGTGAGTTTTGTACGAAGTGCATGTGAGACATGTACTGATTTCGTACCTCTACCTCTGCAGCACCAGTCACCGTGTACGTATGCGGCGAGTTCGATAGTCTACCTGACGAAGCACATGCTTTCAAGGGGAAGAACACATTCCCTGTCGGTCGACACTTTCGCTCGTTCAATAACGGCACAACACCTCGGCCTACGTATACTGGATCAACAGCCCGGTCAGGGCCGATGAACGACCGCGTTGGAGCAGTATTCACTTGGACCAACATCACCGAGATCAAATCGCGAGTAGGCATCTCCTTCATGTCTGTTGACAAGGCATGTTCGTACAAAAACGCCGAGCTCTCTTCGTGGTCAATCGAGGATACCGCGCAAGCGACGCGTGACGAATGGAACCGCGATGTCTTTTCCAAGATTCGCGTTGACACGTCGGAGTCAGCAAATAAGACCAGGCTGGCGTTGTTATACTCCAGCTTGTACTTCATGCACCTTATACCCAGCGAGCGTGTAGGCGAGAACCCGCTATGGGAATCGGATGAGCCATATTGGGACGGTAAGTCCTGGCTGTACGAAATGCATGTGAGACATATACTGACTAGTGTAAAGATTTTTACACAATGTGGGATCTGTTCCGAAACCAGGTCTCGCTCTGGCACCTCATCCAGCCAAGCTACTATGAGTCTATGATCCGCTCTCTGATCGACATGTTCAAGCAAGAAGGCTATCTTCCAGATGGTCGATCTGGCAATTACAATGGTCTGGTCCAGGGAGGATCAAACGCCGACAATGTCCTGGCAGATGCCTACGTCAAGGGCTTGACGGGTATGATCAACTGGACGGAAGGCTATGCAGCAGTCAAGAAGGATGCCGATGTCTTGCCTTTCTTCGACGAAAACCCAGTCGACCCGTATGGCTCGCTGAAAGAAGGACGTGGTGCGCTGAAAGACTGGATAGAACTCGGCTACGTCTCGGCTGATCGCAGCACGCGTGCAGTCTCAAAGACAGTAGAGTACTCACTCAACGATTTTGCTGTCAGCCAGATCGCAGCTGGTGAGGCGCCTGGCGATCGTGACCTCTACCTCCGTCGGTCCGCAGGTTGGCAGATGAGTTGGGATCCTGAGTCTGCGAGTCGTAACTTTTCCGGTTTCGTTATGCCGCGATACGCGAACGGCACTTTCCATAAGACGTATGACATTACTGACTGCGGCGATTGTAACTGGGAAGATGAGAGCTATGAAGGCACTGCTTTTGGTGAGTTGCTGCCTGTCTGCATGCTGTCATCTTCTACTTGTACACTAACAAGAGGGTAGAGTATTCTTTTGTCGTTCCTCACGACATCTCGCGCGTTATCACGCTAATGGGAGGCCCTTCCCACTTTGAGGAACGCCTCGACTACGTATTCCAACCAAACACGTCTGGTGTAGACCTCGGCGTGAACGGACTTGGCATCACCACCATCAACAATGTCGCGAACGAACCCGACTTCGAAACACCCTACCTCTACAACTACCTCAACAAGCAGTGGAAGAGCGTCGAGCGAAGCCGCCAGCTTGCTAATGACTTTTACTTCAACACCACCAATGGTATACCCGGAAACAGCGACGCAGGAGCCCTGAATTGCTGGCTCATCTGGCAGATGCTGGGATTGTATCCTATAGTCACCACCCCCGTATATCTCCTGGAAAGTCCTTGGTTCTCTGACATCAACATCACAGTCAATCATGACAAGACATTGAGGATCAGGGCCGACGGTTTAGACGATGGAGACGGAAAGCAGGGGTACTATGTTCAGGGAGTGAGTATCAATGGGCAGGCCTGGGACAAGAATTGGTTCGAGCATGAAGACGCGGGTGGTATCATGACCGAGGGGGGCGAGATTGTCTTCAGGCTTGGAGAGCAACAGACTGTGTGGGAGTCTGGTGATGTGCCGCCCAGTCCTGGGCACCAGGTCGTTGATGTTGGTGAGAGCGCACAGTTCTCTAACTGATGCAGCATAGCATTGCGCCAACCCGCGTCGTGACGGCATAGATGGTAGTAGGCAATCGCGATAGGAGACACTATCAATAATTCTCGTGATATCAACATCCGTCAAACATCAAACTCCCCGCCAAGCCATCCGACACATCTGACACACTCCGCACACACTCCGATCACGTGAACCACTCTGAAACACCTCCTGCGACAGCACAACGAGACCCATCCGCCACGGCATTAACCCCGCTGATAGGCCAGACCCCATCACCCAGAGGACGCGTCACCAGCAAACCGCTCAACAGTACAAGTCAGGTGCAAGTCAGCCAACAGCATGAATCATGCACGATATAACCGCTTTCATTATAGGTACCTCGCCTCCGACACCCGGCGCCTGGATACGCAGGCGACAAGGCGATCACACAGCGACAGCCTCAGCGCCACGGAGAGCATGACACGATGCACTGGAAGTGTACTGCGGGGTCGCACATCGCGGGTGCCTGAGGAAAAGCATAAGAAGGCTGCGTCGCCTATGGTGCTGAGAGACCATCAAGCAACATCTTCTTCGCACTACAACAACCCACTTCTATTCCATTCTTTCTTTGCGTCTGTGACTGCAAAAGCTGACCTGGTGTCATTCGTTCAAACGTACTATACATAATCTACCGACGAGTTTATTTCGATACCCCAACTTCAAACCATCAATATGCGTTTCTCCATCGCTACTCTCCTCACCTGTAAGCGACCACCGTTTTCCACCTGCACTGAGCCGGAACTCAAAGACGTCATATACTAACACCCCCCAGTGGCCGCCGTCTCCATGGCCCAAGTCACGCCCAACAACGCAGGCGCCAAGAACGTCGGCGCGGGCGACGGTTCGCAGTTCATCACCGGCGGGTGCGTGTCGGATGCCGATTGCAGCTCCGCCTGCTGCAGTCAGGTCGCTGCGACCGGCGACGGTGTGTGCTCTGCTGAGGCGGCGAGCCAGCAGAACGGAAAGACGGGTTGTGGATTCACGGACCCGAATGCGGATGCGGTGATTGCGGCGGCGCAGGACCAGGTTGCGCAGCAGGGATTTAAGAGGGTTGTTCGTAGCGAGTAGGGGCGTTGCTTGAAGAGGGTGCTGTTGTGCCAATGATAAGATGGTTTGACGGTGATTGTAGTGTGCCCTGGCTGTGATGTCTCTTCTCGTGATGTGCACCAAGTTCAACTAGTTCATGCGCATTTTAGAATTCGCTCCAGATCGAATCACGTCTTCGACGTGGAGCGGATTCTAAAATGCGCATGAATCAGTTGAAATTGTGATGATAAGCTCAATGCGCATATCCGCTTCCCGCCCCAAAAGCCGCCCACAGCCGAGCCACCCAAAGCGCCAATATCAACTCCCGACATGTCTGGTCTAGATCATGCCTCAGCTCTATCGTCGGCATCTTCCCTCCAGGCCCCATCTTCAACACCTCTGTCGCAACGACATGGCCTTCGCTGTCTTTCCACTGACTAGGTTCCAGCTCGTTCTTCCTCTGCTTAAGCGCCTTTGTAAATCCCCCTGGCTTGCCACAAGTCATAATCTCATTCGGCCGACTGCCCTGCGTCGGCATATGCACGACATGCCATCGGCGCAGACCGAACCGCAGTTGTAAAGCGCCGGGTAGTGTGCTCCCCGCTTTGCCTTGGATGTAGTATTCGTTGATGAGGAAGGGCGGGTCGTGGGCTTCGTATAGGACGCTGCTGCTGTCGAAGGCGACGGTCGGTGCGCCGGATTGGAGGAACGTGATCTCTTCGGCTTTCAGCCTCCGTATCCGCAGCTTGTTGATTCGCGCATCGAGGAGGGAGGAGAGTTGGTAGGCGGGCGCGTTGGGTGTGTGGATGAAGGTGCCGTAGATGGTGAAGGTCGTGGCCTTCTCGTCGACGGTGGCGTATGCGGGAGGTAACTCGGGCGGAGGCGATGCTGGTACGATGGTGGCTGTTGGCTCTGTGTCGACAGCAGGTTGTTCGCCAGCGGCGGGTTCGGAAGGAGGGTGTGGTATTGTGGTGGGCGGAGGCGCGACGACGGCTTCTTCGTATGAGGGTATTGGCGCGTTGATGTTTGGGCGAGACATGGCTGCGATAACAAGAAAAAGCACGCAAGCAGTTGCTCAGTCTGGCTGGCAGTGCTCAAAGAATTGCACAATATGAGGTTTCAGAGGCTGTGTTGCGCCAAGCATGCTTTCGTATTGATTGATTGATGATGTGAACACGGCAAGCCCGGCGTGACGTACTTCATCCACAACCTCGGCTTCTTCCGCCTGCCAAGACCCCACACCTGCAGTCTCTCCCCACGTCACACCACGAGTCCCACGGCAGTCGCGTGTGGAACCTAGACGCATCCGAGCCAGGATACTAGAAACGCAGCACCCCACCATCATGTTGGCGGCTCTTTGCACCTGTGCATCTTTGTCCAACAAGCCAAGTCGATCATGCGAATCTCGTGGCCCTTCTCCTGCAACTCAAGCAAGAGTGGTTTTGCTAGATCGAGGAACTCAGCGCCGCGCTTACTATCAGCAGGAAAAATCGAAAGAGAGACAGTTACGCCGAGACTGGCTGAGTTCAAGATCTTTCTCAAATCTCCAATAGTCTCCTCCATATCTGACTCAATCCTCCAACTATTGTCAAAACGCATGACGAAGGTGATACGGCCGGCGATGTTCTTGGGCAGTACACTTGCATCGATGTTCGACCACCACGGAAGCTTTGCGAGAATATGGTGGATAGACAACGGCTGTGTGTATATGTACTTCTGAATGATGAACGTCGTTTTCCAATGGAATCTTTCGAGGATCTCATCGGCTAGTGGGTGGGTGGTTGATATCATGGGGTATGGACAGCCGACTGGTGGAGTAGGTATAATACCGTCCGATGCTCCTTTGTGGATGGAGAAGCCAGTGTTGTCACTTGCTATCTTGATGGTGTAAGTGCTCTCCCTCGGGAGTAGATGATCGTATACCATGTCCCTAACCTCCCGTGGTAGCTTCCCTGCTGGTAGCAATCCGAACATTCTGTCGAGGAGACTGGGGTGTACGAGCTTGGCGTATTCTCTGAGGACATCCGCGAGCGTCTGGTGGATGTACAGTTCCTTTGGTTCAACGTCGGAACGCTTCCGAAGCTCTGCATTGATACGACGCTCTGCCAAACTAAGCTTCAACGTAGCTGTGTCCTTGCTGGCCGGGTCTGCGAGTGACGGTGGACCGCTTTGAGATTTTGGATCACGTCGTTTCTCGATGTCCGCGAGAGTCGAAAGCTGCTTTTCTTTCCACGAGTACAGCTCTTGCAGCGTCGAGTCATATCTTTCCTTCTCAGCTCTCAGTCTCTCCGCAATGACATGTAGACTGACATCCTGGACGTTAGATGAGGATATTTACGTTACGACAGAAAGCCCTGACTGACCTGAAAGCTCGGAGACGGTAGTGCTCATACTCCGTCGAGGCAGGCGAAGAGCGTCCGAAGACATCTACGAAGCCGAGTTGGTCATCAGTGGTATTGGTTGTAAACATCGCGAACACCTGGATAATATAATGGGTGAGTTGTTTTGGTGTTACGCAAAACTCCAAAAGACCCAGGTATGGGTTGTGACACTGAGCTAGCTGAAAAACTAGTCCTAAAGAGGCAAATCTGAAAGGCTCCGTTGCCAGTACAACAAAGAACGCGTCAACAAAGATTGAGTGACTTGTTAAGAGTACGTGATTGATGCTCACTTTGGTCAAAATACTCCAATCTTCCACACAAACCAAGGTTGAGAACTAGACGCCAATCATATCCTCCGCATTTCACACAACCCACACGCAAAAGAATGCCCCCGAATAAGAAGTACCGCCACCCCGAGAGCTCAACAGATAACAAGCCTTGCGATTGACGTAAATTGAACCGGCAAAGCTACTAGTTTCGCGTCCTGGGCGAAGCAGTGCTTGGTACAAGCGGTGATCACACTTCGTATTGCATTCTGCGCAAGGTAAAGCCACTATCTGAGCAGGGGTATACATCGCCTTAGAAATTATTCACTTCTTAGGATTTAGCAGTGTATGTGCAGCAAATGCAACACGCATCATAGCCCTTCCTGGTATCGTGTTCACATCATCTAACCCTCCGCCCTCATCTCCGCCTTCTCCCCAGCATCCAGATTACGTCCCGAAGGGTACATCTGATGCGGAGATCGCTTCATATACTCGCGGACTCCCGCCTATTGAATCTGATTAGTGCCATACACTCTTATACAAGACTCAGGTTGACGACATACCTTACGGAATTGCCGGCGATTAGTCCACGTATCGGTGAACGTGGCGCTTCCCTCCCCCGCCGTCCACGTCCACCCGCTAATCCTATCGTCCAAGTGAATTTGGTGGCCTCGAGCCTTCAAGGCCGTCAGGCTCGGGAATATAGTTTCCATGATGATATGAACGTTCTCGTTATGAACAGCGGCATCGATCTCGGTCCCAACATTCGAGACTGATAGTCGTTCGGTAGTAGCTAACATGGCTTGGCGTATAGTTGGGTCGGTGGGAAGTAGACACTCATATCCTTTACGCGAAGGACCAATTTGGGAATGCCAGTACATCTCTTTGCTAGGGAAGATCACTTGGATACGTGCTCGGGTATTGGTGAGTTGCTGTAGTAGATCGAAGCGCTGACGGAGTAGAGTTTTACGCTCTTCAACCTGGTAAATGTCCTCGGGCATGTAGATGCTGATTGTGGAGAGCCAGCGTTTTGGTACGATATCTTGCTTCCACGCATCTTGGTTGAGAACCCTGCTTATTAGCGCGTCGTGTTGGATATTGAATTGGCCACGTCGGTAACGAAGTTGTAGGATCTCTAGAGCTGACTCTTTGCCGACGATGGATGGATCGATGTAGTAAGGATCTTGGCCTCGATCGACGACACTAGCTGCTATGTTGGTCCGGTGGAAAAATGTAGAGCGTGGTTTGTTGGTCGTCTTTAGTACGTATCCACTACCCTCCAACCAGATGTCAAACGACGGGTTCTCGAAATCTATCAGCTCGGCGTAGATCATGTCACGCAGCTCTCGCGGTAGGTGATCTTGCACGGCCTGTAGTATTGGTGGGGATTCTAGGCGGGAGCATTCGACAGCGGTATGATACAGACGATGCTTAGCTTTTCGCAGTTGCGCCCTTAGTCTTACACGCCGGGCTCCGTGTCCCTTGGGGCATGCAGTAAAGGTGAAATTGTCGACGGTACTTTGAAGCGGTTCAATCTTCTTGGCGGCTCTGCATGTTCGTCAGCGTGCGGTCCATTTTCATTTGGTGATGGAGCTCACTGGTATCCATCTGCACGCAGCTCGACAAGCGTCGGGACCTTGCGTGTCTTCGTATAAACCATGGTTGACTGCGATCTTGGTGTGACTTAGGCAAGGTTGACGGATATGCGCGTTGCAGTTGGCCGCTAGGAAACTGAGAGCAGGGCTTGGGGTGTGAAGGGGCGTTCATATATACGCAGAAGGTTGAGGCGATACACATCCCGTGATGTGGACGGACCACAAAGTGGACAAATGAATGAGCGATCTCTATCTAATATGCGCTGAACACAAGACCTTATACAAGAGAACTAAACAGGTTGCCAACTACATTAAGACGAAAACATGCGAAATAGGTAACCTGATACGGATGTAGGCTCTAGGGTTTCTAACCTTTCCTTAGGCCGACGTGACAAGAAAGAACAACAGTAATGAATGTGGTCGTAATTAGATGAGTTGAGGTACATCCCGATACAAAAGTCACAGTAACACCGTCGTCGTAAGCACTACCAGAACTCCAAAACAACATACCACCTGATCACACTGCCTACCAAGAAAGCCCAGCTCCCTGCCATTGCCGCTATAGCTGCATGCACTTTTCCCTGTTCCTCGTTCTCACCGTCCTGGAAGAGAAAGAAACCAGCCATCATGAAACCAAGCCCACCAAGCGCATTGAGAATGGCACTCTGCCAGTCCGAGTGGAAGAACCTGGGCTTGTACCAGCGCTCTTGTTCGGAGAACGCCAGCATAGCGTTCGCGACCAAGAAGAGCGCGCCGTGTATCACCTGCGGCCCGAAAACGATGTAACCAAAGAGAGGGTCTTCTTCTGGGACGACACCGGGGAAGTCGACGATGCCAGCGAACATAAAGATGATGCCCCCAAATAGAACGATGAGACCAGCCTGGAAGGCCAAGTTGGTGGCCGACAACTCCCAAACCTTCTCCCATGACGGTATCCACTTGAACTCCGGTGTGCCAAGGAGCGCTGGCCGGTACCTGACTTTCTCGGGCTCCAACTTCGATGTTTCAAGCGTACCGCGGTCCGCATTCAGAGCACTGAAGGTGTCGAAGATGCCTGCGACGAAGAAGAAGATCGATCCGATCAATATCGTACTAGGGACGGCGACAGTCTCTTCGGTTTCGAACTCCGTGGAGGGGTTGAGGCGGGGTAGGAGATCGAAGGTGGCGTTGATGACGAGGTCGATAGATCCAATGAGGAAGATGATCGCTACGAGGTAGATGGGGTCGCGGTAAGGAAAGACTGTGAACATGGATTTTAGCCGCACTTTAAAAGAGCTGCTGTTGTCCCATTCCATGACCGAAGTGGTATCGAGATAGCGGTCGTCGATGTATGCTTGGCTGTTATCGGCGTTGCGTTCGACATCGAAAATGGTCGGCTGTGAAGTACGCTCGGAGTGGCATTTCTCGCGGTGTTCAATGTGGTCGACATGAACGAAGGATTGGAGCTTCTCGGTTGAAGCGGGGCGTGGTTGAAGATCGATTGATAACGTCTCCGATATGCTATGTGGACGAGGGGTCATGCTCATCCGCGCCTGGCGGATGTAAGAAGCACGGATCGTTGCTGAGGCATTCATGTCGGGCCAAGACAGCGGTAAGGACAGTATTAGAGATTAGAAGTTATCGGTACTTGTACTAGGAAATTGAACGAAGGACACAATTCGACACGGTAGGCTTATAGAAAAGAAAGCATCCTCAATAGGCCCTTATGGGATCCCATACCCAGCGCAATCAAACGTTAGTTGGGTGTTGCTGTGTTGATCGCGCGCTCAGACGCCCAAGCCCAAGACTTCACATGTC